AATGATGTCTTGTGTTGCATATTCATATTTGACATTCTCTGCCCGTCTAATAGTGTAAAAAACTGTGTTTATGTATTCAAATCGATTAAAACTTTTTTTTACCGTTGATGTACAAGTAAAAAAAAAAATTTGTTTCAGTTAATCGTAGTTATCTATTTCAAAATAATTTAGGATTATTCCAAAAAGATTTCCTTATGAACTACATAAAAGCGATCGGCTGGTTTACAAACTTTCAGGTTTCAAGAAATTTTCGAAGGTTCAAAGTGTCTCTGTCACAAAGCACAAAATCAACTGATTAACCTCCAGGCAACAAAATGACTGAAGACAGAAGCCGTAACAAACAAGCTTTCGATTCAGAGAAAAACATCAAAAGACAGTTCAAGGAGATGGAGCAGGCCCTAATAAGAATTTAGCAAGAACATGCTGCTACTACTGAATCCCCCCAATGGAGACTGCAACCAACAGATTGGAATGCGAGAAACATGACTCCTATAGAAGTTTCCACCTTCTTACTGCGTGAAGAAGACGATCATCATCATGGTCAAGGTCAACAAACCCAGCTATCACTAGTACTAAAAGTAGTAGTAATACAATAACAAACTTCTTTGATTGGAAACTGGGTTTCGTTTTCCACACACATTGTGTTATCAACGACCAAGCCTGCAAATTGGTCCTCTACGGCGGAAACAGCATCGTTTCAAAAGGTTTAGTGAAGAAATTAAAACTCAATACGCTGAAAAAGGATCCATCCGTTAGGGTTATGGCAACGAGAAAAGAGGATAAATCCGCAGAGGAAACATGTAGAGTCCCTGTCTCAATCGGAGAGCACTACAAGGATAAAGTTACATGCTACGTGGTCAACATTGAAGAAGAGGAAGATCAACTTCTCTTTGGAGGACCATGGCTTTATCATGTTCAAGCTACACATGATGCATGAGAAAACTCTTGTACGATTATATGGAATCACAACATCATTCTATTGCAACCGCAACTGTAAAATGAACGGATCTTTGACACCAAGTAAATCACAAGTTTTAGTGTGTTTTTATTATAGCCTCCTATTGTGTTTGCTTTTGCCTTCTACGGGCAGAAAAATGTTAAGACATACCTCAAATCCTGAGATCAATTCATATGATGGCAAGACCAGTTTTCAGATAATCCAAGCAAGAGAAAGGCAGACGCAGGATTCGGTCAACTTCTAGTGAAGTCTTCATGAGATTGCTCATGGTTTTCTCTCTATGTCTTCCCTGTGACCCCATCCCTCTGCTCACCACTAGCGATAAATTACATAGCCATGGCACTTCACAAGCAAACACCAACCCATTTCTCTCATTCTCCATTAAACCCTTTTTATAGGCTCTACCGACTTTCCGAACATACTTCCCTGTTGTTACACCTTCATTTGATCTGTCTATATCAGAGATGTCTGCGTCAGAGTGAAGGTTCACCACCATAGTTCCATGCTCATGGTGAAGTATTTTGCTCAAAGCATTCATGAACACGGAATTGGAATCCCACAGACTATGAGGAAAGATGTCTGCTCCATCATAAGCATCCATGAAGATCATGTCATAAGTATTACTTTGGTTCCTGAGAATGAATTCCTCAGCTTTTGATTCGTAGAGGAAGAGTCTCTCATGGATGCCTCGCCACATCACTTGGTCAATAATTTCAGGAGTTGGTAACGCACGTTTCCCGGTTGATGTCATGACAGAGAATGCAGGGAAGCCCATTGCTCTAACCGACTCTGAGATAACAAGTGGGTCGAGCTCAACTACGTCAACAACAGCACCTAGAAGACAAATCAATAACACCATTCACATCAATTACCATAAGAATTACAGATGGAAGTTCTAGATAATGATATATAAGGTACAATGATTGTTCCTACCAAGAATGTGTTTAGCTAAAAACAACGGTAAACTTCCTCCACCGTGACCGATGCATAATATACGCATTTCTTTCTCCCCAATAGCAACACTCCTCATATCAAATTTAGAAGCTACAAGGGAAGTCAATCCAACTGAAACCATGCTCTTCAGATCTGTCACCAAAAGAAAAGAATTCGGCTAATTAATAACGCAGAGGCAAACTAAAACAACTAAGAACAATGGCAGAGTCACACGAACTAATAACTAGACCTATAAGCGTCATTCCTTCATCTAGTTCAATAGAACAAGTCATGGTCTCTGTACTATGTCTACAAATTAAGCATCTAAACGCGTAAAACTAACCAAGAGCCCTCTAAAAGCGACACAAGATATAGCATACTAATAAAGAAAGGAATAAAGGGTTTAATAATCTCACAAGGAACAGCAAGACAATGAGGTTGTTGCATATAAAAAACAGAACTCGGTTGCAATGCTCTACAAGCAGCCATAACTTTCACAGTGCTTTGTCGAGTATCATCGTTAAACCGAAGCGATCGCCATTGATACCCAAGTACATTAAACCTCCCATTCTTCTCCTCTCCATCTCTAGACATTATCTCCATATACCTTTTCTCTAACCATCTCTCAGTTTCTCCCCATGAATCTCTACTCTACATAAAGAGAAATCATTAGAAACCATACCATCTCAGGTTTTAAAGATTGATTCCTCACAAGATACTCACAGGGAGAGAAGAAGGATGGGCGACGACAGAAACGACGCCGTTTCCTTTACTGGAAGTAGCTCGTGAGACTGTGTAACCGCCGTCGTTAGGATCCCACCATTCCGGCGAGTAAAACCAGTCTCCTTCTTCCTTTATTACGCCGTCTCTTCCGCAGAAATGGCGTACACATGACTCGAAGACGCTTAGCTTTTTTCCATGGCGTGTTGTTAACGAGAAACGTTGAATTGAATTCATTTGTGACAAGAGCCAGAACCTCGAAATCGCCGGAAAATCAAAGTGGTTGATAAAGGTATGGACTTTGGCGGCGGTTCTGGTTATTGTTGCGAAACCCTGCTTAGAGAATTTGGTTAATCAGGGTTTAAACGGTCCTATGGAGAGTTAGAGTGTCGCCGGCGAATAATTTTTTTTTTCTTTTTTTTTACAATTTCTGTTTTCTTTTCTTCTTTATTTGTTAGCAACATTAATAGGTTTATTTTACAATTTTTTTAGGTTTTTTTTTTTCTGACAACTTTATTAAATTGACTTAAATAATAAGCCAATGCTAAAAAAATATTGTTTATATAGATAATCTATATATATAATGAGAAGAGTTTCCTCTCCTCTTAAGGTGTCCACATCAACATCCACGTCATCATATTTTTTCACGTAAATTTCACATATCTTATTTATTACAACAAAACATTAATTCAAACATTCTCTATTATTATGTTTCACTAAAAAAAAAAAAAATTTATAAAAAATAAATTAAATATTAAAAAATGTAAAAGTAAATATATAAAAAATTAGAGATTGAATAAAAATAAATTTAGAGAATTATATCTTAACATATAATGAATATATATTTTTATGGTACAATAATTATTTTTAATAATTACAAATATTTAGTAGACTAAAGAAAATAAGAGTTAAACAAAATACCAAAATTAAAGGATTTTACTTCAACAAAAAGTAATTTCTTACTGAAAAATACACTTCTAAAATTTGAGAATATATTTATTAATGTTAAAGTATCAATTCATGATACCGATTAAAAATAAGAGGGATTAAGTACATATTATTATTTTTAATTATAATATAATAAAAATAGTTAAATTAATAAACTTCTCTATAACTACTAATATTTTTAAAATTAAAACGTGGTAGGTTTCTTAGAAACATATGAATACCTAAAAAAAGGGCTAAATATAAATCAGTGTTTAGGAAACTATCATAGATTGAAAAAAATTAAAGTGGTTTAAAATAAAATAAAAAAACTATCCTAAACATCACAAATAAAAATAAAATAATCTAATCGAATAATAAATTGTATAGTAATAGTTAGGGGTGTCAAAATGGGTCAAGATTAATGAGTCAACTCAACTCAACTCAACCCATGAACCCTAATCAGTTGAAAATTTTGACTCAAATGAGTTGATGGATCAAATTTATTGAGTCAAATGGGTTGATGGATGAAATGAGTTGGGTTGTAATGGGTCAATGGTTTCAATGGTTTACCCATTTAACCCATCAATTTTTGTTAAATTGAATTAAACCAATCCAAATCTCTAAACCGATTTCAATTTGAGTCTAACCAAAACTTCTAAACCGATTGAATATAATCCTTAATTTCCCGCAAAAAATGTGAATACACAATTTTCCCGCCAAAAATATAAATTCGTGATTTCCCGCCAAAAACGTAAATCCGTGATTTTTCCGCCAAAAAAATTTATAATTATTAACCAAAAATTAGAAAGGATAATTTTCCCGCCAGAAATGTAAATCTGTGATTTTCCCGCCAAAAACGTAAATTCGTCGTTTTCCCGCCAAAAACGTAAATTCGTGATTTTCCCGCCATAAACGTAAATATGTGATTTTCCCGCCAAAAACGTAAATTCACTTTAATATTATTTTCTTTTTAATGTTAATTTACTTTAATTATTAATTTATTTATTACATTAATGGGTCAACCCATTTAACCATCCAACCCATCAAATTAAATGAGTTCATGGGTTGACTCAAAAGAGTTGAGTCAACCCATGAACTCATTTAACTCCAAACTCATTGGGTAATGAGTTGAGTCGGGTTGGGTTAACCATTTTGACACCCCTAGCAATAGTATTTGAGATGGCTATTTGGAAATTAGAATAGTAATGGCTCATAGAAAAAATTTTAATAAGAAATAAGAAGGATGTTGTTTTAAAAATAAATAAAAGGAGTTCATAAGTTACAATATTTCAACATATTTTCAACATCTATATATATAGTAGGAGAGTTGTATCTCCATTTAGGGTGTCCATAGGGGTGTCAACCCATCAACTCATTTAATTTGATGGGTTAGAAGGTTAAATGGGTGGACCCATTAACCTATTAATGTAATAAATAAATTAATAATTAAAATATTATAATAATAATAATAATAATAATAAGAATAATAATAATAATAATAATCAACATCACTATTATTTGGCGGGAAAATCACGGATTTACGTTTCTGGAGGGAAAATTATTGATTTACGTTTTTGGTGGAAAAATTTTACATTCTTATATTTTGGTTAAAAATTATAAAAAATTTTGGCGGGAAAATCACGGATTTATGTTTTTGGCGGGAAAATCACGGATTTACGTTTTTGGCGGGAAAATTTTACATTCTCATTTTTGGCTAAATATTATAAAAAAATTTGGTGGGAAAATCACGGATTTACGTTTTTGGCAGGAAAATTTTACTTTCTCATTTTTGGTTAAAAATTATAAAAAAATTTGGCGGGAAAATCACGGATTTATGTTTTTGGCGGGAAAATCACGGATTTACGTTTTTTGGCGGGAAAATTTTACATTCTCATTTTTGGCTAACAATTATAAAAAATTTTGGCGGGAAAATCACGGATTTACGTTTTTGGCGGGAAAATCATGGATTTACGTTTTTGGCGGAAAAATTACATATTTTCGTTTTTGGTTAAAAATTATAAAAAAATTTGGCGGGAAAATCATGGATTTACGTTTTTGGCGGGAAAATTGCGGATCTACGTTATTGGCGGGAAAATCACGAATTTATATTTTGATGGAAAAATTGTGTATTCATATTTTGGCGGGAAAATTAAGGACTATATTGAATCGGTTTAGAAGTTTTGGTTAGACTCAAATTGAAATCGGTTTAGAGATTTGAATTGGTTTGATTCAATTTAACCAAAATTGATGGTTTAAATGGGTAAATCATTGAAACCACTGATTCATTACAACCCAACTCATTTGATCCATCAACCCATTTGACTCAATAACTCATTTGATCCATCAACTCATTTGAGTCAAAAATTTCAACTCATTAGGGTTCATGGGTTGAGTTGAGTTTTGGTTGACCCATGAATCTTGACCCATTTTGACACCGTGTCCACATCATCATCCAAGTCCACCTATTTTAATTTTGTGTGGGCTCCACATATTTTATTTATTAAAACAAAAAACATTACAACTATAATTAATTCACACATTTTATAATTTTATATTATTATATTTCATTAAACAATAACAATAATTTACAAAACAATAAATTAAATATAATAAACGAAAAAAATAAATTTATAACACAAAATAAGAATTTTGTGAATAGAAATTGGATAAATATAAAATTACATAATTATATCTTAACATATAATGAGTAAATATTCCTAAATGAATGGAGATATGAATAAAGAACTTATCATATATTTTAATGATAAAAAAATTCTTTTTAAGAGTTACAACTATTTAGTAGAATAGAAAAAATAAGACCTTATAATATACTAAATTTAAAGGTTTTTACTGAAAATAAAAATAATTTATTTCTGAAAAATACACATTTAAAATTAAAAATATATTTTTAATGTTAAAGTATCAATTCTTGATACTTATTAAAAATAAGCAAGATTGAGTACATATTATTGTTTATAATTATAATATAATATAAATAGTTACATTAATAAAATTTTCTATATTATCATTGTTTTCTAAATTAAAAAGTGGTGGGTTTTTTTTTAAAATCAAATGAATACCTAAAAAAAGAAAAGTACATACTAATCAGTGTTTATGAAATTTTAACATAGATCAAACAAATTTAAGGTGACTTGAAAAAAAAAAAAAAAAAAAAACTATCCTAAACATCACAAATAAAATTAAAATAATCTAATAGAATAAGAAACTGTGTAATAATAATATTTGCGAATGCTATTTGGAAATTAGAATAGTTGTCAATATATGAGATTTGTTGTCAATAAAGCAATTTTACATGCACCAAACATGGTCAAAGAAACTTTATAACAAATATTTCCCGAGATTTTCTAAATTCACTTTGATAAAAAGATCATGCAACTTATAAAAAATATTTGAGTATTGAAAGATATGAATGAGAAAATATATACGATATATCTTGAGGACTAATTCATAGTCGAGTATATTATATATGAGCCAATATAAGATGAAAAGAGAATAGATGTCGGGAGACGACGAGTGAATCATAGAAATATAAAAGAAAAATTGTAGTGAAAAGTGTCAAAAAATATTTACTGCTATGAAAAGATAATGAAAACGAGTAAAGTAAAATCTTTTAAAATTCAAATAATTCAAAGATTCGCATTGATAAAAAAAAATTAAAATTCTGCGTAACGCGCGGGTACATAATCTAAAACTGTGATTTGAATATGGGAGTAATGTGATTTGGAAGCAATGCGATTAGCTAAAACGGTGAATGGAGCTACGTTTTAAATGCCATGCGATTACATCGTAATTTTGAATGGCAAAATTTGGATGCGATTTGAGTGTGATTAGAAAACAAAATTACTAAATTAGTCACTTATTGTATTATTTTTTATATTTTCAGTTTTCTTTTATATTAATTCAATTTACAATATATGATTATATATATTTCTTAAATTAAAGTTATATATTAATTATATATATATATAAATCAACATATACTCACCAATTTTAATTTTTGCATCCACCAATTTTAGTTTTAGTTAACATCTTCCTTTTAAAGACATTTGAAGAATGTACAAAATCAAAAATTCTTCCATGTTTGTTCCGTTTGTGTTTTGCCTTAAAAATGGAAAATAAAAAAAAGATGCGACGGAGGGAAGTTTTAGAAAATAAACAAAAATTGCTCGATAATAAATTTTGAGGGTATAATGGTCTAGATACACATAGAACACAGTTGTAGCACTTGCATGTATCGGGGCCAAAGTCTTACATACAAGTCGAACAAGAGATGGTAAGTTACATCAAAGTCTTAGATTTGTTTTGTTTAGTTACATCATGATCTTTATCATTCACCTTTTAATTGTTTAATATTTTAGGAAGTTGAATTGGGAAGACCGCCTACTATTGGTGAAG